GGGGGGGGGGGGTTCTTACGAGTGCTTTGCAAGGAAGGAGGACAAAAAATTGGCCGAAATTCCTTACGTATTACTTGGACGGCCCCTAACGGAAATAAATTTCACGTTAAAGGCAATGATGTAGTGAATAATCCTGCAGCACACTTTTGGAAAGTTATACTTCCAAGTGTCGCGACACGGTGGTGTGCTATCGGTTGCAGTCAGATTAATATTATCTTTTTATGTTTACAACTGAAAGGTTACATAGCTTTGGTTGAAGAAGGCTTGGAAACGATGATTGTTTGAACATGATATAACGACATGAGTCTTAACAAAATCAATCATGCATAATCCTGGAAAGGATCTCTTGGCAAAAACTCCTCTCTCCCCCGCGACATACAAGTGTGCGGGAGCACATAAATGGTGTTTAAATGAGTGACAACTGGGTGCAGCAGTAATCATAACAGGTGCAGCACGTAATCATTGATTCGTTCACTTGTTTACAATTCATTTACTACGAAACGCAACCAAACCCGACCAAACAATAAGCAATGCCGGTATAGGATGCATTCATCCTCCTCACTTCATTTCAATTTTTTTTTCTCTTTCGATATGATGAGTATGCATTTCCAGAGGTCACGTCAAAAAGTGATCATTACCTTTAAATCCTCTTTCGCCTCTCTCTTTTGATGATACAGATTAACAAATAAACGTATTTCTTGGCCCCAAACGCCCCCGGCAAAAAGGGCGAAGCCCTCTGCCCTCTTTGGCTAGCTGTGCTAGCTGAGCAATCGATCCTTTATAATAACACCTGTTGTTTAAATAATAAACAAAATTAATTTATGAAAGTGAAAATTAAAAGGCCTCTGGCTAAAGGAAAACGGAGATGGAAATAACTGTAAAGGCTACTTACTGACGTGGACGATTTTGTTTTTGGCCATATTGTCAAGGAGCCTCTCGACTAAGGGATCGTCCTCTTTGTACATTTCCATCCTAGATATACTTAGTTGAAATTGCTCGAGCACCGTCGCGTTCGGCCTGCAACACAAAAGAAATATCCAATCATTAGGTTGTGCACACATATATCAGATTAGACAAACATTCATTCAATTTCATGTCATTCAGTTATTTCTGGACGAACTGGACTACAACTTGGTATCCAGAGGCATGGGCAGATCCAGATATCTCGAACGAGGGGGGGCGTAAGGAGGGTCGGGGGGAGTCTCCGCCAGAAAATTTTCGAATTTTTGAAGCATCAAGAATGCAGTCTGAGTCAATTTCGTCATGAATAAATAGCAAATATAAGTGTCTTTCCTTTTCCTTTCCTCCGTCCCTTACTTAATCTTACTGTATATTTTTTTCGGGCGATAGTGGAGGGGGGGGGACAACCTTACGCCCCCTTACACCCCCTTGGATCCACCTATTTCCAGGGGTTCCTTGGGGCGTAAAGAATGAGTGTAGAATGTTTGGATAATTTTGGAAACGGCAGCCTTCAAAATGACAGAGCACTATTGGTATCTCCGTTGTCTACCAACTTTCGACAAATCTTGGCTCCATGGATTTTTAAGCGAGACCAAGAGGACCTGTTAAACCGGGTATTTCGGTGAGCTACTTAGAAACTTTGATGCCAAATATTCCTCTCGGGCCAATGACAGCATTAATTATCAGCGGCGAATCACGTCCGCACATTTCAAGTTTCAATAGTTTTCAAATTTCCAGTCTTTTTCATGAAATTCCCTGACATTTATTCCCTAAATTCCGTGACCCGAGGAAATTTCCCTGACAATTCCCGGTTTTCTAGACCTGCAGACAATCTGTGTTTCATTTTGTATTATTCAGGTCTCCTTATTTTTGATAGTATAGTGTGAGCACTCGAAAAAAAAATCAGTAAAATAGGAAAAATCCATCAATTTTTCGAGCCTTTTTCATTATTAACAAAAACTCAACTAGGAAACAACTCTAGGATTTCAGCTGATGGTGACGTTTTGAACTGAATTATTGAGTCGTTCCTAACATTCAAAAATTGACAAAAGCTGAAGTATTTCTTTCACCTCAAAAAATGAACCAACCCACATCATCATTAGAGATACGTTCACTCCTTGAACTGAATGTCTGATTGGTGGCCGCGAAAATACTTAAAGGAACAGAAATGAAATTGGAGACTTGCAAAACTGATGCCAACTCCAGCCAGAGCGAAGATGACCGATCACCGCTCTTACAGAAACGAGGGCGTGTTGTGATACATTACAAGGCTTGATGGGGGTCCGTTCAGATGTCGGATGCCACCCTCCGGTGGGTTAAGCTCCGAAAGCCCCTGAAGAGATAAGCAACTCGGTATACATCCTCAGCAGGTTAACGATACCGGCCGGAAAAGGCACACAGCGTTTGAGAAGGACGCAACTTATCATTTGTGTTTAGTGCAGAAAAAATTTACTCATACATGTTTTTCACTCGCTTTTTTTCACAAAAATTTTTTCTTAGGTATAATGTCAAAGTTGATAGAGGCGATTAAAATGTTCAAAAATCATGGATCTCTTAATGTTCTTTGGGGTGAGTACATTTCTGAGAAATCTGTGAGTATTTATACTATCATTCAGGTTTCTTTAGACCAGTGTTCGAAACTCACAGGCGCCAACGCGCCAAATGCGCCTAAAAAAAACGGCAATTGCGCCTAAAAAGTGAAGGCTCTGCGCCAACGTGGCCCCTAAAAATTTCCCCCTAAAAATCTGAATTTTCATATGTATCAGGTGATCATTCGAAATTTTCAGCACTACAAGAGTAAGCTTTTTTCTATTCTTCACGATTTCATCCTTTGTGATTTTGTCATCCCCAAGTTACAGCTATTTACTAACTCTGTTACGAAAACATCTTGGATCTAACTTTTCACTAAATGCGCCGTCATATATAGGCAAAAAGTCAATTTGACCCCTAAAAAATCTTCAACGGCGCCTAAAAATCGGGCTTGATGCGCCACTCGGCTCCTAAAACTCGAAGGTGAGTTTCGAACACTGCTAAATTAGACACTCATTTTCTCATGCGCGGACTCTGAAAAGCTAAAAGCATTATTTACAGAACTTAAAATGAAACAGTGAGAATTAACAAGAGAAAAATCACAACGGTCACCGGTAAACTCAATGATAAGTCGGAGCAATGCCGCTCTGCATTCTTCCCAATTTCATACGGTTCAACCCTCCGTCCTCTAGTCCACGAGGTCGATTTCAAAGTTGTAAAGTAGCAGCGAATTTTATTGGTGTTTAATGTGCGGACACTTCGGGAAATGTGTTTTCTACGAAGGGATCTGAAAGTCTCTCTCCTTCCCCATCATTTTGGTATCCGATTTAAGGATATCGGGAAATCACTTTCTCGGGCACCCAGGAACCTAGCCGCCTTTTACGATAAAATCCACTTATTTTAAAATGCGTCGGGTGGGAAGTGTGCTTTTATTTCATCATGACTTGGAGACAGCGTCGAAAGCGGTCGAGTATTCCCTAGTGGACATTTGAAAGTTTTATCGCTCTGGAAAAGGTCGGAAGTTCTTTTTGGAAAACATGTTGAATCGTTAATACGGAACACCCTTCCTCGTCAGCGTTGCGCATTGCACCGCTCTTTTTGAGAGTGTTTTGTTCTGACCAATAACAGGAAATCAACGAGTAAACTTTTAAGTGCCCCGTGATTCCGGAAATTTTTTCGTTTCCGTAAGAGATCAAGAAAGTTTTGTAAAGCTCTCATGAAATTGTTGTAACCTAAGAAAGTAGAGAGAAAAGTTGCAAAAATTTTGTAAATTGTCAAAAGCGAATTGTCTAATGTATATAAATTAGACAATACACTTTTGCAATACGCACTGTTTACATTAGATAATACGCATTTGACAATTTACAAGATTTTTGCAACTTTTCTCTCTACTTTCTCGGGTTACACCGCAAAACATGTTGCGAAAAAGCATATACATATGCTTTTTCGCACATTCATGTAACTTCCTGTTGTTAAAAAAAGAGGGAATTGTAACGAGACATTTTTCGAGGAGGTGCGCTTCAACTACAATTCGGTCGTCTAGTTGCTTGTGCCTAAAAAGATACGTGGGTTCTTTGCCGGCAGGAAGACGACCGGATATTTTCCACATTGCGATTTTGCTAGTTTCTATGATGAAATATCATCTATAAACTTAGAAAACTTAGAATGGAACTTTGAGAAAAGCGCGGGGTGCTGGAAAAAGATAAGTAAAGCACGACAACAAACCGATAATATTTATAAATTTTTGACTTAATTATCAATAGGATAATTATCAATAGGTTCAGAGGGTTGTTCCAAGCACATGGAGCTATATGAATGTGTGTTTTTGCACTGAAAAAAAACACATTGGATCTAGAGTCCAGACTCTTGAAAACATTGACAAGAAAAAATACTCTTGATTCAATCGCATTTTTGCTTGAATCAAAACGAAATCCGCTTACATTAAGAGGCTTGGTTCTTGATTTAAAAGCTATAGATTCTGATTGAATCAAGAGTACTTTTTCTTGTCGATGTTTTCAAGAGTCTGGACTCTAGATCCAATGTGGATAACTATTAGCGCTCTCCGGTGTGTTTGTTGCCTATGCAGCGAAAGTGAAGGCGAACTGTAAATGGACGATACCTACCAATCGGAAAACAAACTATCATAGGATCGATACAAATGTGCATATTTCGAACAGAATTAAAGTCAAATGGGCATTTTGAGTTTCCGTACGGTACAAAATTCTGCTTGGGAAAAGACAGCGACCCGAGGCAGATAATTGACCGATACGATAAAATAAAAACTGCTCGTTGTACCGTTAAACAAACACTATTAACTGGACCTACCGGTCTATTATTGTCCCACTATGATGATGCGTACGCAAATTAAACGTAAGTATCCAAGAAGCCACATAAAATAAGTGAAATGAGTAAACAAACAAAAAAGAAATGAAAATACTTCAACAGTGTGGCGTAATAATGCCCAGCTCTGTCAAGTTTTCAGAAGAAAATGATTGAATTCGTCGTGCCGAATAAAGAAGTGAGGCGATTTGACTAAAGTAGTGGTACACACTCATCATCGGAAGAGCGGGATGCACCGAAGAAAAACAACGCATCATTTGGTGCTGTGCAGAAGGCGAGAGGGGGTGTGGGAGCGATGCAGTGGCGCGGCGTGAATTGCGATATATCGATTGTTATGCCATTTAAACCTATGGTAAAGAATCGATTATTACGGTGTTTCCTGCGAAAACCCTGTTTATCGATCCTTTTCCATAGGTTTAAATGGCATAACAATCGATATATCGCAAAGCACGCCACGCCACTGGAGCAATGGCGCTTTCAAAAACCGCGTGACTCCAATGAAACCCTGTGGAGCGTTCGTCGTTTTTGCTTGACACGGCGGAGTGTCAATTGGGCAGTTTTTATGATCAGCGAATCGTGAACGTGGAAACGTAAACAGACAAGTGAATGGACTAAATGGACGATAATGGCCGGCCGGTGATGCACAGTGCAACCGCCGCTAAGCAGAGAAGCGCGCTGGACCAGGAAGCGGCGTAAGTGGAAGAACAACTTCGCGTATAGACGGACCATTTGATTTATTTGATGTCTCCACCCGAAATAAAAATACCTTCAATTATGAATTGTGGTCGCATTCGATGTGCTGTGCTGGTTTCCCCCGATTTTCTCCCGCGTTTTGAACACTGAAAAAAAACTCCGGCCGTGGAAGCCGCACTTACGGGCTTGTCTAGATATATCGTCCGCGTTTCGGGTTCAGAGGCCGAAAGTTCCGGGTGTAGCACCCGAAGCAGTTGAAGTTAAAACTACGGCTCCAGCATCCGACATCCATCAGCATCCACGGTCAAACTTTCGGCCTCTGAGGCCGGAACGGATGGTATGTCTATAGAGCCCGTAACTTTTTTTCAATGAATCGATAAGGTTAACATAGTATGATTGGATCTTACGATAGATTGATACATTGAATGGTGAAAGGGAGGGGGGGTAAGATCACACACAAATAGTGGCGAGACGAGAATGGTCGATTTTCGATA